GCTGGCTGCCCTGAGCCCGTGTTTGCCGGTGACCCGCAGCAGCCACCAGAGCTGCGGTTCCCAGTTATTCTTGCCCCGCGTCTCACCAGCCAGGGCCAGAGCTGCTGTAGGGGCCGGCACAGCCCCGTCCACTGTGCCCCTCCCGACACGCCCTAGGGGACCGGACCTCCATCGAGCCTCGTGCCACCAATTATGGGGTCCTTGTGCATCTGGCCAAGCGCAGCCCGAGTGCAAGCCCTTTCCCGAGGGTGTGCTTCGCAGGACGGCCCGAGACCACCTTCTCAGGGCAGGCTCCCCAGAAACAGGCCCTGGTTCGGGGGGTTTGTGTACCAGGGACAAGGGAGGGACTGGAGGACCTGGTAGGCGAGTGGGGAGACAGGACGGGGAGGGCAGAGGAGCCCAGCAGGGGTGGCTCCGGCACGGTCCCACTGATGTCACGGACACATGTCCACTGGAGGCGGGAGCTGGGCGGTGGCACCCAGGCACCCCTTCCAGGCACCCCGGCCGCCAGACAGACTCTGGCCGTCTTCCAAAGCCAGCCACAGGTGCAGGCCCGGGAGGAGAAGCTCACCTCGACCCGGGGGCCCCGAGCAAACCTGGGCACATCCCTGACAAACCCCCTCGTGTGTCCTTCTGTCCCCAGGAGAACGAGTATCTTCAGGACTGCCTCGACGCCATCCAGCAAGACTTCGTCATTTTCAACAGAGAAAAGTGAGTGTGCTGGGGCTGGCGGGGGCAGAGACGAGGGACACTGGCCGCCCAGATGCTGACCCCCCAGCCGCAAGGCCTCCTGGGCCTGGGGTGCCCACCCCACTCTCTTCGGGGCTTTGAGCAGTGGGAGGTCCCTGTTCGGGCTCTTGCATGGGGCGGGGGCTTCCTGGGAAGGTTTTAGTTCCAAACGGGGCCAGTGGCCAGACCCTCCTGGGGAGAGACGCGGCACATGGCCAAGGCCGGGGCTGGTGGCTTCCAGGGTGGCCCCGTCAGCCACGGTTCCCACCACTCAGACACACACTCACTCCGTCTCACTCGTGCAGCAGACCTTTTCTGAGCGTTGGGTACTGCGAGACAGAACGGGCACAGGTGGTTGGCAGGAGGAGTGCGTGCTCCTGCTGCCTGGGCAGGCAGGGAGGGCCTCCTCGAGGAGGTGGCCCTGGGCTCTGGCCGGGAAGGACGGTGTGTGGGGCCTGGGGAGGGCCCTGCCCCACCCTGCGGATCAGAGGGCCAGGTGAGGAGCGGGACTCAGCCGAGCTCTTTGCAAAGCTGCCCTGCGGCATGTGCCGAGTCCGGCCTCCCTGCGGCTTCCAGCCGGAAGTGAGCTGAGACCCTCAGCCACCGCCCCAGACCACCACAGGGTGAGGGGGGTGCCGTGGGGCTCCCAGGCTCCCTGCTGTGCCCGGAGGTCCCAGAGCAGGGCTTCCCGAGGCACCACCCAGCACTTGGCCCGAGCTTGGGCGCCCTGGGCCACGTCACTGAGGGACACGTTCCGTGAGTCCTTGGGGACCAGCAGCAAGAAGAGTCCTGGGCAGCTGGGTGGACACAGAAGGCCCCTCGTGTCTCTGCCCCCAGGCTGAAGAGGAGCCAGGACCTCACCAACGAGCCCCTCCCCGGCCCCGAGACCAGGGACGCCGCGTTCCCCGTGGAGGACAGCCAGGCAGAGCGCTCCGCCCTGCCCATGTGCGGCTCCATCTGCCCCTCGGCCGGGAGCAGCTAGGCCTCCGGGCCGGTGCCCGCGGACAGTTACTGCTCGGGTGGCGTTGGAGGCCCAGGCCCACCAGGGGTAGGTGCAGCGGGCCTCAGCGGTCCCAGGCTGGCAGTGCCCAGCGCCTAGCCACATTTCATACCTTGGCTCGTGGCGGTGCCTGGCCACAAGAAGCCGTGGGTGCCTGTCGAGGGCAGGACGGGCCAGTGCCACTTGGGCCCTGGAGGACCCGAGACAGTGGAGGAGGGGCTTGGCTGCCCACCCTGGCCTCTCCTGCGGCCCCATCACTGCTGGCTGGCAGGTCACGGGGGCTGCAGCTGGGCAGAAGGCCCGGGCCCTCTGGTCTCTCGCAGGCTGGAGGCTGTACATAGCCCTGGTCCCCACAGCCCTGCTGTCGGGCCGCCGGGTGTGAGTGAGCCTCCTGTCCTAGCCGTGGGCGGACCTAGACTCTGCTCGGTCCTTGGTGGGAGGGTCGTGGGTGGGAAGGTGCAGAGTGTTTTCTAGAGATACGAACTATTCTGGCAATTTCTGCTGTTTCTGTATAGTTTTCACCTCTGAATCACAATATAAGAGCTACTCCGCGTCACGTGCTGTGCGTGTTCTGTGCCTGCCAGGGGACACGGAGTCTGGCCGTGACTCAGGCAGCCAGGGTGGTGGTGGCTGCTCAGAGCAAAGCCGGGGCACGTCAGGGCCGTGCCCTTGGACGGCTGCTGGAGGAGACACGGAGCCAGGCAGTGCTGGGCCCTCCAGGGGGACCCCTCCCTCTCCCTGCTTGCGCCTCTCCTGTCCCCCAGGGGGACGGCTCAGCCCCATCAGCCCAGGGCTCCAGACTGGCCACGTCCGTGCCCCCTCCCAGGACAGCCGGCCACGGGGGCAGGGCCTGGGCCTGTGCCAGGAGCCCGGCTCCACCTCTGGCAAACACGCCGTCCCCACCCCAGCCAGGCGGTGAGGCAAGCGAGGCTCACATGCCACGGAGTGTTTGGGAAGGAGCTGGCTGTGCCAGGGCGGAGTCAGGAGTCCGGGCGCAGGTACTGACCGTCAGGCCTCAGCGAGGCCACACGCGGTGCCCCAGTCACCGCCAGAAAGGCCCGTGGAGATAAGTTCCTGGCCGAAACCTGGTGGTGTCGGAGGCTTGGGGCTACATGACAGAAGTGTACCTCGATGCGTGGTTTGGGACCACGGGGACAGTGCGCCTGCCCCTTCCCCGAGATGCCAGCGGATGAGGGTGTCATCGGCTCCCTTGATCACCTGGCAGGGGCTCGGGGGACACCGGCGCAGTGGGCGTCAGCCTCGCAGGAGCCCTGGAACGCAGGCGCTGGACACCGGGAGGGGCTTCTCAAGGCAGCTTCCTGGACTAGCACAGCTCACTGGCACCACCTTTGTGAGAAAAAGGCTGAGGCCAGGCCAGCCCAGCAGTTCTGACTTCCAGAAGGTTCTGCGCCTGGGCCTGTGGCTGTGTCTCTAGGCGCCACACTGCCCCCAACCTGCTGGGGGGCCAGGGAGTCCCGCTCTGTACCCTCCCACCACCCAGCCCAGCCCTGCCCCTGCCCAAGGGTGGGCAGAGCTGCCCAGCGGGACGCATGGGGAGCAGGGGCTTCCCCTCGCGGGAGATGGCGCAAGGGGTCTCCACACACAGGTGGCTTCTAACCCGATGGCTTTAATTGACACGATTCACATCGGACTGGGACGACCGCCCGCGCTGGGTGGCATGCACAGGGTCTGGCTGCGGCGTCCTCTCCGTACAAAACTACTCTATAAACCTATTGAAATACACGTTTTGTAATAAAAGGAGCGTCTTACCTAAAGGACCGTGACGTTTCCCTGGAGAGGGGCTACTACGAGAGCTCAGGTTTGGTCCCTGGGAATGTGCACGGAGTCCCCACCCAACGGGTCCCTGACATCTCAGCACCTCCTGGGGGGAGGGCTGCCCTGCACCGTCTGGCCTCGCGGGCCTCCAGGGAGCTGGCGGGAGCGGGACTTACGGGAGCAGGGCCTAGCAGTGGGGAGGAGGTGGCGCCCCCGGCTGTCCCCCTGCGCTCTGTGACGCACCCGGGGGTTCTGCATCCCTGCTGGCGGCGGGCCCTCCGCTAGCACCCGGCCCGGCCGCCGGAGCCGTCCCGCCGCCTCGCCCTGGCAGTGAACCCTCCCCAAACTCAGCCCTCGCCTCAAGGGGGCTCCTCACAGCGGGACCTGGGACCCCGAAAGGAGAGCTTGTGGGGGAGGGGAGGGCAAGGCTGAGCACCTTCCAGAACTTCTACAGGAAACGCCAGCAGAGGGCGGCAGCCAGCCCTGCGTCTGCCCGCGGGCGGCACCTGCTGAGGTCGGAGGTCGTCTAGGAAAGGGAGGTGATGTTGGAGTGCCCACCGGGGGGCGCCATGATCTTCTGGGCCGTGCGCCTGGCGATGTGGTCGTCTGCCTGAGACCCTGCGGAGAGGGCGGGTGGGCAGGGGAAGCGGGCTCCACGGGAGAGCCCACACCCGCGTGGCCGCTCCCACCCCTGGGCTGGGTGCACGGGAAGCGCCTATGGGGTCCCCAAGACCTGTAGGGACCAGGACTGGAGGCTCGCCCTGTCCCCAGAGGAGAAGCCCAAGGCAGGCCAATACGTCCCCCGTGGGCCCCAGGTGGGGGCCGAAGCTGCCCTGGCATCCAGCCAGTGCCCACCCAGGTCCCCAGGAGGCGAGTGGGGCCACCGTCACAGCCCAGAGCCCTGAGCTGGGAGGACGTGCCAGGGGCCCGGTCCCGGCGCCTGCACCAGGGATGCGGCTCTCCTCACCCTTGCTCCCCACCCTGGGCTGGCTGGGCTGGGAGCTGCCGCCAGGTGACACTTGGACCCCTGCAGAGGCCCCTGACCTCCCCAACCCAACGTGCCTGAGTCCAGATGGGGGCTCGGCTCAGCCGCCTGGGGCGGGTGCTGGGCAGGAAGGGCGTCCCCAACCGGGCTCGCCAGGCCCCGCCCTCCCCTCACCGGCTGCCCCAGCCCCGGGCCCCACTCACCAGACAGGCTGAACCCCGACTGGTGTAGGTTGCGCACGGCTGGGATCGAGATCTTGCCCTGGCAGGACGCTCGGGCTGGGGTGCCGCTCCCCGGCTTGGCCGGCACCATCACCTCGTGGACCGGCCCGTCGTAGAGCCCGCGGGGCACACCGTGGATCTCCGCCAGCTGTGGGGCCGGGGCGGGCATGAGGGATTGGGTCACGGGCAGCCGCAGGGCCCGGCCTGGTCTGCTCTGCACCCTCCGGGGCCAGGCTCGGGAATTTGGGGTCCCCCAGTGGGGCGTCCACCCCATGAGCACACACGTGCCTGCCCCCTTGTGGTCCTCCTCCCCACACACAGGTGCGCCCCTGCCCGCAGGCTCTCCAAGTGTGCACATCTCGCTCCCTGCGCCCCGCGCACCCCTGCTGGCACACACGCGCCCGAGGGAGGGAGCAGCACTCCGAGAGGGCCTGTGCAGGGCCTTTTTCTGGAAGAGGACACTGGCCCCGACAGAGTGGCCACCTCCTATCCCCGAGATGCAGGCCCGAGTCCCGCCCTTCCTGAAATGGCCCCCAAGGCCAGAGGCACTTCCCGGGAGCCCCCCGGGATGGACGGTCCCTGGACTGCCAGCCCCTCGGACGTGCTTGCGTTTCCAGTGGCATCTTTCTCAGGGTTCAGGGTTGGAGTCACGACTGCAGGGTCTGAGGCCTGACCCCGCAGGTCTCTGATCGGATCCTGCCCTCGGGGTGGCAGCGGGCAGGGGAGGGGGGTGAGTGCGAGCGTTAAGCCCGAGGATTCGGGGGACTCTCAATGCAGGCCCCCCACCCGCCGTGTGTGGCTGGGAGCCATCCCCTCCCCGCCTCCTGCCTTTGGCAGGCCCAGGCCCACCTGTGCCCAGAAGGCCCCACCTGCCTTCCTGCCCAGCCGGGGCTGGGCCAGGAGGCAAAGCCGCAGAACACGGAGCAGCCCCGGCGCCCTGGTCTGAGTTCCCCGCCGCCCGGCAGGACGCGCTTACCCGGTTGCGAGCCTTTATCCTCTTGTACACGAAGTCTGGGAAGGTCTTCCGGGGAACGAAGCGGCCAGCACCGGGGGTCACGAACAGGGCCCCGTCCTCCAGCACCACCCTGCCCTGACTCACGACCACCGAGGGGGCTCCGCGGCACTCGAGCCCTTCGAAGATGTTGTACTCTACATTCTGCAGAGAGAGGCCCAGTGTCCAGTGCCACCATGCACGTGGCCTTTCAGTCCCTGCCCCCTCCTGCTGCCCGCACACTCTGAGGCTGCCCGCACCCGAGGCCTGGCGGGCCTGCACCCAGACCCCCAATGAGACGAGGTCGGCTCCGAGGGGCCAAATTCAGGAGGAACCGGCCCCTCAACCTATGAGCCCACCCCCGAGTCCTGTGTTCAGGAGAGCAGAGGAGACATGAGTGAGCAGACAGGAGGGGCCGCGCCTCCCAACTGGGCAGGCACGTGGCACTGCGCTGCCTCAGTCTCCTCTCTGCACAACTGGAACAGACGCCACAGCTATGGGACGGAGCCCGCTGCGGTGCCAGCGGGTGGGCACTGCCGGGGACGGCTGAGCTGCTGCTCCTGCCCAGCGCCAGCTGCGTGGGGGCCGGGCAGCCGGCCGTGCTCTCCCTCCCGGGGACTCGCCGGGAAGCTGCCTCGGGGCTCCCCAGGCCCCACGGCCCGGCCCTGACCCAGACAGCCGGGCCTCTCTCACCAGATTGTGGCTCTTGGCAGAGATGATCTTCGTGGCCCTGGGGTTCCATATGACAAGGTCGGCGTCAGAGCCCACAGCCACTCGCCCCTTCCTGGGATAAATGTTGAAGATCTTGGCAGCATTTGTACTGGTCACTGCGACAAACTCATTCTCGTCCATCTTCCCTGAGGCCTGAGGGGAGAGAAGGCAGAGCCGAGGGTGGGGGCTGGTCTGGAGCTTCCATGGGGACGGTCCCAGGTCACTGAGCTTTCATGTGGATGGGCACCAGGCCACTGGGCTTTCACATGGATGGTCACTGGGCTTTCCTGGGGACGGTCACTACGGTGCCACCCAGACAGCAGGACGGAAGCCCACAGTCACGGCCCTCGCCATGTCAGTGCCTCACGGGACACACCGGCCGGGGGAGGGTCCACTGCCATGGGACCGTCAGAGTCAGAGTCAGAGTCCGTCTGAGCCACGCTTGCCCGGGGGACCCTTCCTGTGGACGAAGCTTGTTTCTGTGCTCACTTTGTGGGTAGACGCTGAGGCTTCAATGACAATGTCTGCGTCCCTTGAGGGAGCCCAGGAGGCCTGGGGAGGCAGGGCCAGCCTGGGGGGTGCTCAGGGCCTGGGGGTGGACATAGGACGCCGGGTAGGCCGCGCGTGGGCAGTGAGAGACGAGCCCTGAGGACTCCCAGGCTGTCAGGAGACGACTGACGCCGCAGAGCGTCATTCCGTTGGGACAGGGACCCGCTCTCACTAGCCCACATGTGCGAACGCATCTCGGTGCGACGCTGGAATCTGCAAGGACGATACAGCTGCCCCCAGGGGCCAGGACCTGGTGTCTGGGAGCTCGGATGCAGGGCTGCATCTGGGTGAGGGTGACACCCCGAGGGCCAGGTGCCCCGGCCTGTCTCACGGGCACTTGCCGGTCACGGGGCTCTTTCTGGCGGAACGGCAGAGCTCCGCTACGGCCCCTCCCAGTGGCCCACGTGCCCGGCCAGGTCTGTACTCACCACGCACTTTTCCCAGACCACGGACATGCGCTCCTCCACGCCGTTGGTGCCCTCGGGGATCAGTGTGAAGTTGTCTTTGCCAACGGCCTTCTGGGCAGTGGTGAAGGTGCAGTGGGCACTGCCCGTCACCTGGAGGTCCCCGCTGGGGAGAAGCCAGGGTCAGAGGAGCCCAGAGGTCCTGTCCCGCTGATCCCCACCCTGGCCAGCACAGCCATGGGGATTGGAGGTGTCTGAGACCCACACCGGGCGGAGGTGGTGCCTCGGGGCAGGGTGGCCGTGGACACAGCTGGAGGGGCCCTGAGTGGGGTACGCGGGGGATGGTTCCTATGAGGGAAGCCCCAGCTGGGCCAAAGGCTCAGACCCTGCACCCCCCTCTGCCTGGCTGCTCTGCAGGGGCCCAGGGGTTCTGCAGAAGAGGCCCGGAGTCACGGCCACCCATGGGCTGCAGCCACGGCAGGCGTGGAGCGTGCAGGCCGACCCAGTGCCACGGGGAGTGCCGGCGTACCTGGACAGCAGGCAGGCGAGGTGGTCTGCCGTGCTGGGGTCGGGGCTGATGGGCGGTGACGTGACGAAGGCTGCCGCCTTGGCCCAGTTCTTGCTCCAGTAGTGGGAGCCATCGGTGCCCAGGCTGGCGGTGATGGGCTCCCCAAACACGACCACCCCTGCAGCGCAAAGCCCGTGAGAGGCACCCCACCCCCACCCTGCGTGGAGGTGGGATCACAGGGGCCCGAGCACGGGGCAACCTGGGCACTGCCGCTGACACCCCCAACTGCCCCTGGCTTTCCTGGCTGGGGACGACTTGTCCCCATTCTGGGGCACCCACACTGCAGGAGGCCGGGCAGAGGCCTCAGTCCTGGGCAGACATGTCGGCCCAGAGGTCCCGTAGTGGGAGTCCGGACCAGCTGACAGCAGGTCCTCTCTGTACCCACAGCCACAGCCGGGGGTCAGGCCAGCCGGGCACTCTAGCCACGCCTGTCTGTGCGGCCGCTCACCAGCCATGGGTCCCCTGGCCACAGCCTCGCTGTGGGGTTCAGGCTTGGGGCTCATGCTGCTCCCAGCAGTGGACAGGGGGGGTCAGGCTGGCTCAGGGGAGTGGGCCCCACAGGAGAGTGGCTGTCAGTGGCGGGAGGGGGCTCCTGGCTGCGTTCCCGCAGACTCCACTGCCCCGTGCCCAGTGCAACCTCCCTGTCTTCTTCCAGGTAACCGGGTGGGTTTCTGTTTGACCCCCCCCCCGAGTGTACCCACCCCCATGCCTCGGGCAACCCAGAGAACGAGCTCCCTTTGTGAGACTCGCTGGGGACGGCAGAGGTGGGAACTAGATGGACCCTGGACCTGGGGCTTCTTGGAGACATCGCCTCAATTACCCACCCCGGGCCCTGCACCCCACCCTGGCCCCGTCCAGGGGCTCCCCAGATCCTCTGAGCTCAGCAACCTGTCTGGAGGCCCCCACAGCCCAGCCCCTGCTGGTCACAGCTGCATGTGTCCCCCACCCGCCGCCAGGCTCGCAACGGCAGACTCCGCCTCCGGCTGGCCATGGGCGGGGAACGCCCCAGCGCTTGGGACACGCGCCCAGATCCCAACACAGGCAGACACCACGGGGGCCCGGGCGGGACTGCGGTTCCCTCTCAGACACGCGCATTCCTGTCATTCTATCCCTCCCCGTGCGCAGGGTGCACAGCCCACGTTCTGCTCTGGGACCCAGTGAGGCTGGAGGCTCCAGTCCAGCCCGAGCCGGGGGCGGCGCTCACCTCTGCGCTTGGCCTGGGCGATGGTGTCGGCTGCCCCCCTGCCCATGACCTTGGTGACGTACAGGGGGCAGTTGGCCTGCTTCGCGATGGTGACGGCTCGGTACACGGCCTCAGCCTCCACCTGGGGATGGAGGTGGGGGGGGGGCCTCAGACCACTCGGGGGTCACCCCAGGGACCCTGCTGGGTGAGCCCCAAGCCTGGGGCTGCTGCCGGGGACGGGTTGACCATGCGGTCCCAGGGCCTGACTCCCGTCTTCTGGGTCCCAGGTAAAGGTGAGCAGTGCTCACGGGGCAGGGGAGGGGCTGCCGAATCGCCTCCCAGACGACGTGGGCGGGCAGAGCCCCGCCCGGGCATGAAGTCAGGGCCAGATCCACCCAGCCCGGGGCAGCGGCAGTGTGGGCCGCGGTCTGTTCTGGGCGCCTGGTGCTCTCGGCAGACGCCGACGCTTACCTCCTCGGGGTGGCTGAGCACGTGGCCCTCGGGGCCGGTGATGCCAAGTTCCAGCAGCCGCTTCTGCTCCTGAACAGACCGACAGGGCGCTCAGTGCGGCCACACCCTGGGTGCCGCCCCCAGTCTCGGCCCCCAGAGACAACGTGGTCTGGGGTATTTTTGACAAGAAGTGGGATGACAACGAGAAGCTTGTATGCTGGCTTCAAGAGCCCCCCAAGCCTCCCTCCAACTCACGGGCTGTTTGGTCCCTGACCCTGGGTGAGCTATGTACTGCAACACACCTAATATTCTCTCTGAGGTCTTCTGGAATTAAGTGCTCACACCGCATGTCACCGAGGTCACCCCCACACCCCCACCCCTGTCCCCACAGCACCTACCTCCTCCACGATGTCCCCGTTCTCCGCGTGCACCTGGGCCACGGCCCCCAGGTCCCGGATGATGCTGAAGATCTCGTACATCTGGGAAGAGACGCGAACGGGGCCCTGTGGGCTGTGCTGCTCTAGCGGCGACCTGACGCTCACCTGCCACCTTCACCCTGCACCTGCCCTTACCTGGCCGTCGGTGCACTGGCACCTGTCCTTGTAAGCCATGAAGACCAGGAAGGAGTTCACACCTGGGGAAGAGGCGGGAGGGCTCAGGCGGCTCGGCCGCCACCAGCCGGACAACCCAGGGAGCGTCCCCACCGCGAGCCCATCCCCCGCCACACCTAGCAAGCGGGGGGCGTGGACAGTCAGCGACATCCTGCCCCCTCCTGGCCTGCTGCTTGCCCTCTGGGTGCAGGAACCGACTGGTCCCCCAGTGGCAGGTGCAGGTGAGAGCCGCTCACACCTGTCTCACAGACCCCACGACGGAAGGGACACCTGCTCTCTACGGGAAACCCAGCCCAGGCCTGTCCAGCACATCCGTCACCTGCCTGCGGGGGTCCCGCCTGCCCTGCCGGCACACGGCGCACGCTCACGCGACACTGTGAGGGCAGGCAGCGTTCAGGGCCAGGCTGGGGACGGTCAGCAGGAGGGCCGAGCCGTCCCACTCCCTGGGACCTACAAGGGGGACAGCCTGGGCCTGGAGGCAGCTCCACCCTTCCCACCCCCCAAGCCCACCCAGCCCCCACCCTCCCTTCTTGCTGAGTCGAAAATGCCAATGTGACAAACTGAGGCACGCTGTGGGGAAACTGAGTCACCCTGCGCCACACAAGCCACCCCCCAGGTGACAACCTGCACGTGACCGTGCATCTGGGGCTGGTGGTGGGGATGTGGCCCTGCCCGTGACACCATGCAGCCAGCACGGGACCGACGACCCACGCCTGGCTCTGCGGGGAGCAGGAGCCCCAGCGCCGCCCTGACGGGTGAGGGGAGGCCGCCAGCGCCTGGGCTCGGCCTCTGCTCTGAGACCCACCGTGAGCCTCCCGCGTCCCGCTACACAGCAGCCCAGCAGCAGAGCTGCCGCCGCAGCGGGGCCGGCCATGGCTCGCCAGCCCCACAGCAGGACCGAGGGTCCTGAGCGCCTGAGCGTGCCAGCGTGAGGACTGTCACTCTCGGGAGGGGACCCAAAGTAACAGCCTTTAGGAAGGCAATGGTGACCCGTCCCGCCTGGTTGTGAGATGCGGGTCGTACTCGACCAGAGAGATCAGTCTACCAGTGACGGCCTCTGTCAAACCACTCGGGGACTCTGGGAGGTTTTAGCTTCGGGACTTGTTATGAGAAAAACAGTAAAACCTTTATAGGCTGGTTTGTTTCAGCTAAGGCAACAACAGAGAAATAGGAGTTCCAGAACATTCTCCCTCTAAAAGGATCTTGAAACGCTAGGAAGACGAGCAGCTCTTTTCCTTCCCCTGGGTGGTCTCCTTCCCGAGAAAGGTGGGCCCCCCGCCCGCCGCATCCTTCTGTGGGAGGGACAATGACGGATGTGTCCCTTGGACGGGAAGGGAAGGCCTGTCTCGACCCGCTGACACTGGAAGGACACTTAGTGACTCCCGTCCACCCTCTGCTCGGTGCCCAGGCGCCTGCTGTCAGGGTCAGAGTGCGGCAGGACACGGGGTCGGGGGCCCGAGGCAGGGGCCCAGGTCCCTCCAGCCACCCCTGGCCCAGGGCCGCGGGAGCCGCCGCTCACCCTTGTCCCTGACCAGGGCCTCCAGCTCCTCCTTGATGCTCTCGTGCCAGCGGGGGACGTCCACGTGCAGGGAGTAGTCGCAGCAGGCTGCGCCGTCCGCTCGCTCCCGCCACTGCTCGTAGGCCGCCAGCAGGCTTCCGCCCGCGTCGGGGAACACGTGGTCCACTGTGGGGGCAGCGTGGTCAGCGGGCTCCCCCGCCCGGCCACTGGGCCCCCGCTGCCCCCGAGATCTGGGCTCACGTTCCCGAGAACCCAGAGGGTGCGTGTGAGGACAACTCAGGGAGGCCCGGGGGAGGGGCTGACTCTGCCGGGAGCCCCCTCCTCCCTGCTTTGGGGGGTCTTCTGTCCCATGTCCCCAGCCTCCCCCTGAGCAGAGACGGTGGGGGGTGGAGAGAGGAAAAGCTCAGGCCACCCCACTCCCAATGGACACAACACACCTGGAGCGCGCAGGTTGGGGCTCTGCCAGCCTCCACCCCCAGCCTCAAGGAGGCCCACGGGCCGAGGTGGGAGCAGTGCACTGTCCAAGGTGCTGGACCCCACCGCCAGGCATGTCCCCGAATAGCAGGTGCTGGGCTGCTTCCCGACTGCCCACCGGCTCCACGAGGCCTGGGCAGTGCCACCCACCCCGCACGTGGCCATTGTGCTGCCTCCCACCAACCACACGCCCAAGGTCCAACACGGCTCACGGCCGCGCCGGGGTGCACCGGGAGAGCTCAGAGGGCGGCTCTCCAGGAAGGTGCCCATTAGGGACATGGGGCCGCCGTGCGCCCCGTCAGGCGGGTCATGAGCCAGCCCCGAGGAAGCGGCGCCCCCCTCTCCCTGCAGCTGCTCACAGCGCAGCCTGGGCCGGCGGGTGGAGAATGCAGAGGTGAGACGGTGGCCAGCGCCACACCTGCGGCATCCTCCATCCTGCGGAACCCTCACGGCTTGTCAGATGCCTCAGCTTTGGCACGAGGCAGGTGACACTGGCTGCAGATGGCCTGGCCACCACCGTGACGGGCCCAAGCAGTGGCCAGTCTCTGTGGTCAGAGTACAAGCCGGGCCACTGAGAGCGTTTCTTCCCTCGGTGCTGAGACAGCCAAAAGCCAGCTGTGATCTCGGCAACGGCTAAATGTCACTGGGGAAGTAACCAGAGTCCTCCCCGCACCCAGGGGCGGTGGCCGCAGCGTTTACCGTGCGCCGGGCACACAAGCCATCCCTGCGCGCTGCTCACTCCGTCCTCCCCCGCCTGTGAGGACAGTCTTCTCCCACTGTGCGATAGCTCAGCTAACTTCCACCTACAAACTAGGCTGAGTCACCTGAAGTCACAGCGGGAAAGCTGTGGACCCAGGTTCAACCAGGTTTGAGACCAGTTCTTGAGCCCGGCCAAGGTGCCTGAGGTTGGCACCGAGAGCTGATGCAGGCGAGGCCACGCGGCACCAGAGGGCTGGGCTCTGGGGTCTTGTCCGGCCTGAGCCTGCCACGCACCAGCCCACAGCGGGCAGGTGGATTCACTCCCGCCTCTGCTGAGCCAGAGGGTCTAAGAGGCACGCACGCGAGCAGGCGTCGGGGAGCCCGTGCAGGCGCACAGCGGCACGATGGAAATGCTAACTGGTCATCGTGATGGGACAACAGTGAGCGTTACTTTTACCCTTTTTCTAAAAACACAGCCTCCGCCATTAACGCTTCTGGCCACGAGCAGGAACCTTCTGCGAACCAGGCTTCAGAGGCGCGAGGCTCAGGGCCGGACGTGAGTCTGGTGTTTCAGACAGCACAGCCTCTCCCCTCGTCCAGGGCGCTGGGTCTTCCAGACCCCGGTCCTTGCCCGGCTACGGGTCCCCAGGAAATGATAACTAGACACATATCCGTCTGCTCCCTGGAAATCCCGGGAGCACTCCGGAGCTGGCCGAGGCAAGATGACCCAGCCCAAGAGACGGGGACAGCCAAGGGACACAAGGGATTCTCAGACTGAGATGTAGCAAAGGAACTGCGGGAAACATCCTTTAACAGGCGCCCGGCCAGGGGACCGAGGAACGGGCTGGACGCCGCCCCTCCCGAGGGCCCAGGCACTCACGTATCATGGTGGTCCCTCCGGCCAGCGCGGCCTTCGTGCCCTGGCAGAAGTCATCGGCTGGGGTCATGCCCAGGACGGGCATCTGCAGCCGGGTGTGGACGTCCACGCCGCCCGGCAGGACCATCAGGCCGTGGGCGTCGATGGTCTTGATGCCCCCAGGGACAATGAGGTTTTCCCCGATTTGTCTGAAAGCAACAGGGCGAGATTTCACCGGTTACGAGGGGCCGCGGCGGCTGCCAGTGCGCCAGAGCCGAGCAGCGTGCGTTCGGGCTCCGGTCCTGGAGGACGAGGGCGGCACGGCTGACCACTCGCCGGACCAGCGCTGGGCAAGGCATCCCCCTCCGCGGTTCAGACGGCCACAGTGCAAAGTCCAGCCCCGCGCAGACCTCACACTCCTTCCGGTTTCCCACCGGAGCTCCCCCTCGCTGCTTGACCAACTGGCGGTGGAGCAGCCGGACAGACGGAGACGCTGACAGGTGTGGCCGGTCAGCATTCACCCAACACCCACCGCGAGCCAGGAAACGCGGACGCCCGCGTCCTGCTTCTGACCTCTGACCCGCCGGCTGGACTCACCGCGAGAGGTGCCCACACTCCTGCTCCCAGAGGACAGGTTTGGAAAAGAACAGGCTATTTACGTGGATTTCACCCACAGGAAGCTGCCGGGGTGCCGGGTAACCGGCGTGCAGGCTCGAACTGCACACAGATTCGTGCAGAACTTACTTTATCAGCCCGTCCTCCACGTACAGATCGGCGTAGAAGGACTGGTCGTCATTCACGATCTTCCCACCTTTGATCAGAAGGCGGTCGCTCTGCTGGGAAGAAAAATGGGATGATTTCTGTCCAGACTCAGTTATTCAGCAACAGGCTCAGTGTAATTTCTTCCTCCGCAATTACCGTCCAAACATTCAGACACGTGCGGGCGCACAAAGGATTGCAACAGCCTGCAACCGCTTACCGACCCCGAGAACAGGATGGAGGGAGCCCGAGGGCAGCCGCCACCCCGCACGGCCCCGCAGCTGTGGCCCAGGCAGTCCGGCCCCGCTAAAGGCACAGGGACAAAGTGGGGACTCTGGGGCAAGCCGGTGTTGGTGACAGCGCAGCAACGCAACGGGTCGTATTCACAGCTTCAAATTTACCATCGGATGAAAGCCCCAGCCTGAGGGAGGAGGTGAGCAAAGTCTACGCCCTCCCACGCTGGCCTCCGAGGCCCTGCCCTCTGCCCCCTCTTCTAACCACACCGAGGCTCCCCCAGAACACTGCGGGCCTGTGGTGGGGCCGGGAGCCGGGCTCAGGCACGGCCCCCACCGCGGAGGTGGCATCCCGGCATGGGAGGCTGGCAACGGCAGGAACGCACGTGCATAGATCATCACAGAGAAACACGGAGAGCACAGAGGATGCCACGACAGGAGACGCATGGGGCGAGGCTGGGGTGGGGCAGGGCAGGGCCTCTCTGCAGGGCTGACGCTGGGGCAATGCAGCCGGGGCCCAGGAGCAGCCTGTGCAAAGTCCCTGTGGCAGGGAGGGGCTTGAGTTGCTCTCATCAGTTCTGAGAAGAGATGGAGGGCTGGATCCTTTGGCGGGGGTGGTGGTGAGGGGGCAGGCATGGCAGGGCCCAGAGCTGGGCAGGGGCCTTACGCAGGTGTTAATGATGGTCTGATTGCTGTTTTAGGGAGACCACCTGCGCTGTGTGGAGAGTAGAGCGTGGTGTTTAACAAGGAAAACCTGGTCATCGTGTGGGTGGTTTCTGAGGCTATCAGGTGCGATGAGGGCCCGGGCCACGGTCTGGGAGGGGTGAGGAGAGGCGATTCCAGAGAGGCCGGGAGTTGGCCGGCAGCACTTGCTCACGAGAGGCCATGGGCGAAGGGGAGAAGTCAGAGTGACCGCAGGTCCCAGAGCTGCAGGGGGGACTCCACAGGGGAGCAGTGTCCGTGGCCTAGCTCTAGGGGTTGGCGCCAGCAGCGCAGAGCCGCGGCCTCAGACAGGGACTGACTCCGACGCTCGGCAGCCATAAATCGATTCTGAGAATCCTACCAGATGGTCGGGAAGGAGGGGAGCTGGGGGGAAGTGGGGCGTCATGAGTGGGACTGTGTGTGGCCTCAGGGGTGGTGATCTGAGCTCGGTGGAGAACAGAGAGAAGCCCGGGGGGGTGAAGGCTGCGTGTCGGCGACGAGACTGTGCCCCCCCCCCCCCCGCCCACTGTCTGGCTTGGGTCTCGGCCCTCCCTAGAAACTGACCAGGCAGGACAGTCTCGCCAGGGCGCAGCGCCCACTCAGAGCGGCCATGGCTGTCTTGAGAGGCCTCTGGCTGTCAGGGCTGCTGCAGGACCGTACTGATTAGGGTCAGCCTCTGATCCACGGCTCACAAACGGCCACAGCCAGCCCTCCACCTGTCCTCACACAGCCCGGAGCTAAAAACGGTCTTTAAATTTTATATTGGTTGAAAACAATCAAAAGTATCTCATGACTGGTAAACATTATATTCACACTGCAGCGTCCACAGAGAAACTGTGGCCGTAACACGGTCATGCCCACCACTTGCCGCTGCCGGGCGGCCCTCCTGACAGGGCTGGGTGGTGGCAGCAGAGACACTGGGATCTCGGAGCTGAGCTGTCTACCCTCTGCCCCGTCACAGGGGAAGTTGGCTGAGCCTGGGCAGAAGATGGCCATGCCCAGCCGCTGGGCCCTCCCCACTGAGTCCGGCAGACGCTATGCCCAGTCCCCCAGCCCTGGCCCCTCACAACCACCCACTTCCCTTGGCAGGGCCTCCCCTCACCTCCCCAATCCCCCCACTGGTCCAACCTGCACCCAAGGAAGTGCAAAGAAAACCCAGCCGGGGGGAGGAAGGCTGGGGCAAGCAGAGACGGGGTTCACTACTATCCCCGGCCCCGGCCCCAGCCCCAGCCTCAGGCACCTGCACCAGACTCCGGGAACTCCTGGGTTTGGAGCGGGAGGGACACGCAGCCGGCTGCGGTGCCAGGCTCTTCTCAGCGTCCCGCCAGCATCAGGTAAAAGTCCCGTAAACCACAGACAGGGTCCTCCTGCCACCCTCAACCCACCCCGGGTGCCAGCTGCCTGGCAGGACCTCCTGCCTCAGTACCCACCCTGTGGGCAGCGGCCAGCCTGGAGGCCACAGCCTTGGAAAGGCAGAGGGAAGGGGCTCCTTCCTCCTTCCTCCTCCGCCAGAACCTGGGGAAGGAGTGACCTGCAACAGCCCTCGCTGGGGCTGAAGCCCCCGCCCAGACCCCCGGCCCTCCTGCGGAGGCCAAGGCCCAGTGGGTTCCGAGGCCCCACGGACGCCCCCCACCCCCCGCAAGGTCCACGACCCCAGGCGCCTCCTCCCCTCCCCCGTCCTCGCCGCCTGCGTGGGCGGCTTTGTTTCCTGCCAGAGCGGGGCCTCCCGCCCCTCCTGCACTTGCGCCGGTGTTGGGGGCGTCTCTCTCCGCGGCTGAGGCTGCGGGCGCCGCTGCGGGCGCCGGGTGATAGTCCGTGCTCGCCTCCCCCGAGTCCGGACCCGGCTTAGCAGAGGGGCAGAGCGGTCGGGACTGAATCGCTTTGTCTCGGACAAAGAGCTCCCGACGCGGCGCGGCGCGTCCAAGGGGCAGAGGGGCCCCCACCGGCTGCACCGCGCCTGCAGGCCAGGCCGGGCCAACAAAGGGCCGCCTCCGCCCGCCGCCCGGCGCGGAGCTCCGAGGCCAGACGCGCCGCCTCGGGCCCCCGTGGGGGGAAGGAACACCCGCTCCGTGGGGAGCAGGCCGCTCTCGGGGCCCCGGCCCTCCCGGGGCGCAGAGGGGGCTCCCGGAAAGCCGGCGGCCGGGGCCAGCACGCCCTGCGCAGCGCTCGCGGCTCTCTCGGCCCGGCAGCAGCGAGGGAGCAGGGGACGCGCCGGGAGAGCGGCTCGCGCAGGGCCAGGAGGCTCCGCGCCGCGTCCAGACCCCACTGCGGAGGGGGCAGGGGTGCCGGGCGAAGTGGGGCCCGGGGCCGGGGGAAGCCGGCTCACCGTGATCCGAGGGATGCTCTTCTTGCCCTGGAAAGACATCCTGCTCCTGGGGCCCGCGCCGCCGCCTGGGTCTGCACGCGCGGCCTGGCTCCGGCGGGGCGGCCTGGGGTCCCGGCACGGGCGACACGAACGCCGGCGGGCGGGGGACGCGCAGGGCCGGCCGCGTGCGTGGGGGCGCCGGCGTCCGAGTGCGAGCACGCGGGGCCGCCCCGCTCCGTTCGGGCCCTTCCCGCCCCGGCCCCGCCCCCCGGGCCCTGGCCCCGCCCGGGCAGGCCCCGCCCCGGCCCGCCCGCTCCCCGCTGCGCCAACGCCCAGCGCGCCGGCGCGGCCTCGGGCCCTGACCCCTGCACCCCGGCACCCGCGCGCACCGCGGACGCTGCTGGGCGCGGGGCGGAGAGGGGCGCGATCGTCCGGGCCGGTGCGTGAGCGGAGTTTGCGCCCCAGAAAGCGAGGGGGAGAGGTCGGACGATGTCCCGCCAGGGCGCGCCCGCCCCTCTGCCCTGCCATGGGCGCAAGGCCAGGCCCCTGGCGACCCGAGGCCCCGAGGCCCTGGGACTCAGCACCAATCTGAGACCCGGACCGCGGTGCTCTGGGAGCGGCCCCGTCCGGGACAGCGTCTGGCCAAAGCCGGGCTCCCTCTCGGGTGGCCTGCGCTGGGGCCTGAACGCCCGGCTGTGAGCTGACCCGTGGGCCCGGGCGGTGGAGACGCGTCCCCGCGAGGCTGCCCCACAGCCGCCGCGCGAAACGGGGGAGGAGGGAGAGGACACGTTGGAGAGACACACACAGCGAAACAGACACACACAGACGGCTACCCAGAGACCAAGACAGACTAGAGACCGAGGGTCCTGGGCAGTCGCAGGTTAGAGAACCCACAGGCCCGTCACGGGGGAGGACCCGGCGGCCGGGAGAGCGCTGCTCACTGGCACCGACGCCTCGGCCGAGGCCTCTGTCCCGTGGCCCCTACCTGCTGGGGGCCGCAGGCCTGAGCCTCGCTGGTCCGCCCTCGGGGACTTGGCGGGGCCGCCGGGCAGACTCTGGGTCCCTCGGAGTCGCCGCGCGCCCCGAGGTGGGGCTCCCCAACGCGAGGGCCCCGGCGGCCCAGCGCGCCCAGCTGCAGCGTCTTGTTCTCCGAGGCGTCCTCCACGCGGCGGAAGATGCAGCTCAGCTTGGGACGGGCCGGAGGCCTCGCGGGCTCCATTGGGCTCCGCGCGAGGACTGCGCGGCAGGTGAACTGCGCGCACCTGGCAGCCTCGTCCTCTCCCCGCCCCCCGCCACCCCCACGCCCCCCGCCGGGCTGCGCGCAGCTGCCGCTGTCCACGCGGCGGTGCTGAACCCGGCCCGGTCCCGCGCACGCTGGGTCCCAGCCGAGGGCGACTGCGCGCTCCCGGGGCTCGCGTGGGCTCGAGCGGGCGGGGAGCGCACTGGAGAAACCGCTGTCTGTCCCACACCAGGCAGGGCGGCCCTGACTCCGAAACGCGACAGCGCGCCGAGTGCGGACCGCCGGAGGTATCCGCACAGCCCAGCTGCTCCCGACCTCCCTTCCAGCTGGGTTCAGCTTTGGGGTGAGACAGGGCAGAGGGAATCTCAACTTTCCAGGTGACGCTGTCACTCGGTTGAGCCCTGCAGGACTGAATTTGAACGAAGGGATTTGGGCCTCTGCGTTGTTAGTTCGGCGGCATTTCAAAGCCTAAATTCAGACACTGAGGGTCCCCGCGACCTGGAGTCCTGGCCCTGTCAAAGCAACTCCCCCCTCCAGTCTCCGCTTCCCCAGACCGACGATGGAAGGTCCTTCACGCACCTGTGCCAGACGGTCACAGCAGACGTCGCCAGCTGTTCTTGCTCACGTGCAGAAATCCTCTCCCCTTTCGAACCTGTTTGACCTCTTCCTCGGGTCGCATTTGGTGAGCACCAGTGGCTGGCCGCAGCCGGGTGCCACAGGTACCCTGATCCACAGCGCGTCCCCTGGGGCAAGCGCAGTGATGTGGAGGAGACGCAGGTGACACCTGGAGCTCCCCCTCCGCAGGGGCAGAGGGCCCAGGTCCCCCGCCTGGGGGTGAGAGGCAGTGACTGAGAAGGAACACAGAAACACGGACGTGGCTAATACAGCCCCAAGTTCAAACTTCAATACCTTTGAGGGGACTTTGATCTTCTAAGATTTAAAACAATTTTTATTAAAACTGTACAATAATTTACAAATGAGTAAAAATTCTCTGGTATATATCATAGGAATCACAATACAAAAATACTTGTAAAATTTGGTACTTGAACACCATACAAACCTATTTCAGGCCTCTGAATACTGTTTAGCACTGAACAGGGTATCACATGTTTAGAATGTGGTTGTTAAGGAACTGCTTTGTAGAACACAAATACTGCCTGGCATTTTGCCATGAGAAAACAGGTCCTAGTAGCCTTTGCGTAAATTTACAGTAAAGCTTTTTTAAAAATATACAGTAAACAAATCTATGATTTGATACATATATTCACAATATGATTTTCCTGAGCCTAAACTTAAATCCATTACTGTGTTAAAACACACAATCCGTTTTAAGGTTTCAGTGATGAGTGACGGAAGATGCTGATTGATGGGTCGATGCCTCCAAGCCCACTCGCGGGCACACCCCCCGCCCTGTGCTGTGTCCACAGCCGGGTAAGGCACTCGGGTATCCTGAAGGCTACAGATGCTGCCAGGGCAGAGACTTGGAGGAACGGCCCGGTCCTTCAGCAGTAAGGTGAACCAAGGAGTCTGCAATTCACGTGGATTTTTAGTTTAGACAAACTGAAACATTCGTGTTGTTCTGTGTGTGGACACGGTGATGATGTGATGACTGTTGATGTAACATGAATGCTCATGTCTTGGTTACACAGTAAACACTTCTGGAATGTTCCTGGGTCCCTCCTGTTGCTTCACGGGGGGCGATGCGTGCACACACAGCCTCCCCTGTGCGAAGAGTAGCAGTAAGAGACCCAAATACTTGGAAGAAATTCAGCCTAGCCCACTGGTGTAGAATGAAAAGGACAGCCTAAAATTTAGAAAATTCACCTTATTTTAAAACACTTGGATTCTTCAGCTGCTTCCTGGACCAGGAAGAATCAGTGTCACGTTTGCCTTTTTTTTTTTTTTGGCAAAAGCCCAGCTCTGAAATGAGGCATGCAATCCGATGAAAACAAAGTATATATGGCAGATGCATGAAAACAGTGATATTTAAAGAGAGGAACTGACATTTCACCTGAACGTGTGCTTTCCGGAATACAGCTGGGACGCAAACACAATCTGGTGGATGGGATATTATTTGAAACATTCATTGAGCCATTTCCCCTTTCCTATGTACAAACCTTTTACACATAAACAGTAACAACTTCATAAGCATTGATACATATTTACATGCTTCTTTCTTGTATAGTTTGCCTTTTTTTTTTAATGGTTAAGGAGCTGTGATTAGGAGTGTCTGTGGTGGGTAGAGAGGGCGTGTGACGGTCTCCGTACATATATACAACATGCAAAATCACGACGATCCAAATAAACATGGTGGGCGTGAATTTGGGCGCGTTTCAGTGCACATCTTTGTATCCTAAGTGGCCGACCTGAGCGGCTGCTGTTCCAGGGAGGTGCAGGGTGGGGCCGTGCCGGGAGCTCCCCCAGAGGAGCCGGGCTGGCAGGAGCCGGGCTGGCAGGAGCCAGGTGGGGCTACGGCATGTTCCCGGACGCTGCCTCGCAGAGTCCGTCAGATGTCAGCCCGCGGTTCATCCACGGTGCGGCAGCTTTGGTTAACAGAAAGCTATTGTTTGCCATTCAGTCTGAGTACAATGAGTGTGCCGAGAGGATGTCATGAAAATAAGACAGAACTATGCATGAAGGATTAAACAAGATTCCAGAGTTTAGAACAAACCCCGAGGTCAGGCTCAGCCAGAGACGTTGAACCGGCCCAGCATCTTGTCCGAGTGAATCGGTAACTGTGGCTTAGATGACAACGGAAAGGGAGGGGCCCTTCTTAGACGAGTGCTGTTAGCAGTGCACTTCCCAGCAGAAATCCTCCTGCAGCCACCAAAGAACAAGCGTATCTGTCTGATGCTATAAGCTTCCCCCTGATTTTGACCTGGGGGACGGTGCCCGGTCGGCTGCCACTCGGTCATTTGCACCAGAGCTGAACATTTCTTCTGACACAAACACACGATGAAGGTAAGGCTTCCAGACAGCGTGGCCGTCCCTCCCTCCAGCTAGAATCCTCTTTCTCTTGTGCAGTGTCGGCTGTTACATTCACACCTGGCTGCACATCTCACTGCCCGGGGCACCGTCTCCTGGGTGCCTCACAGGAGCTCAGACCCACGCACTGTCTCCTGGGTGAGCGAGCACACGCGTGAACACACACGCCGTCTTCCACATTCGGCACGCAGAGTCGCACCCTTAGACCTCCAAGGCTGTGAGGACACAGACGACCCATCTCCGACCAGTGAGTGGGGCTTCATCCCACCTGGCCGTGCCCAGGATCACCCAGCAGGAACGGAAACCACACTTAAAACTGCCTGCAGCAATGCGCTGTTTCCTCCCTGAAAAGGAGCAGAGACAAAAGCATCTTTAGCGTGACACAGCCGAGGCACCCGCGGCGACTATACGTACCCTGCACTATGAGGCAACGCTCTGCGGGTGCGGAGCTTGGCCAGGCTCTGGGCGTGGACGTCAGCATGCCGGCTACAGGGGCGCTGCCGTCCTCCGCGGGTTCCACCCCTGCCGTGGCGCCACATCTGGAGCCTGCAGCCCGGGAGATGCACGTGGCCCTCCCAGGAGATCACACGCTCGTGGAGACTGGTCTGTGCCAGTGTTTCTGCAGAAGCCACTTGCAGAAGCCAGGGCTCTTCCTCGCAACGCCCACGGCAGCTGCCCCTGTTTTCACCCAGTTTTCCTCTCTCCTCAGGACTTAGGAGTGGGCCTCTGCTAGGTTCTAGGTTTACTTCTTATTACCTTTTGATGTTTTAACCTTTTTGAATGAGTTATAAAGGAGCTGCTTTTACGAGGAGGGGGGCCCCGGATCAGCCGTGACCTCGGGC